TCATTATCATTATCATTATCATATCATTATCATTATCATATCATTATCATTATCATTATCATTATCATTATCATTGTCATATCATTATCATTATCATTATCATTATCATTATCATTATCATTATCATTATCATTATCATTATCATTATCATTATCATTATCATTATCATTATTATTATTATTATTATTATTTATTAGTTATTTTTACTAAACATTGTTTTATCATTACTATCACTACATCAACACAACCGAAAATACGAGAAACAGAAGCACTCTTATTTCTCTCCAAAGACAGCAAGCCATAAATCCGGTTGTTGTTTCCCTCAGGTGAGACCGTGGACATGACTCACGTGGTAAGGGGAGTGGACGCCAACGGGGCCCTGCTAGTGGACGTCCAGCTGGCAGGACACGTGCCTTATCTGCCTCCGGGCTCCCTTATCACTCTCCAGCCGTACAATGGTATGATTCACGAGGCAGGATGTTTTATTTATTTATTTTTTTTCTTGCGGGGGGTAGATAGAAATGAGGAAAGGGACGATGAATGAACGAGAGAAAGAGGGGAAAACGTAAATGAAGGGAAGAAGGAATTGAAGGAAAGGAAGAAAGAAAGCAAGAAGAAGAGAAATATTCTTAGAATGGTTTTTGGTGTATTATAATCAGATATTTTTAATGATATTATTGTCTTTGTTACTCTTACTGTTATTGTTATTGTTATTACTACTATTATTAATGAAATTATTTCTGTTGTTATGATCAAGTTATTATATTATTTTCGTATGTCTTCTAAAGGCGAAGATAGAGCACATCATTTATAGATATGCTCATAAATTTACCGCATGAAACATCAAAGCAAATAGTATAAGGTATAACTTTTTACGCGTGTCTGGCGTTAGGCCAACATGACATGCATCAAATTTACATTGACCATAAACGTGGATTCTTCTATAAACTGATTAAATGAAATAAAGCCATTTCTTATAAGTAAGCAACGCATCTCAAATCCAAAAAATATGTGTTTCAGCGTCCCAGCCATCTCAACCACTTGTAATTGTATCCTACCAAGATTGTCAGGGTATCTTTAACTCCTTATATGTTGCCTTGTAAGATGAAGTACCAAATCACTTCCTTACTTCCCTTCGTTCCTCAGAGGACTACGTTCAGACTGGCGGTGGCTCAGTGTTCGCCACTTCGACTCGCACCTTCACCCTGGACGGCTACCACCTCCCCTACGCCTGGAACCAGACCATTTCGTACGACGCTGAGCTCGGGATGCAGCCTTACCTCGTGCAGACCCTTCATGCTGCCGGTCTAGGGTCTGCGTACAGGTAGGGTCTTAGGTCATTTAGTTACGTTGGTTTGACCTTCGTGTCGCGTTGAAAGGAGTAGGGGTATGATGGTGTGATGTCTCGTTTGTATCGATGTTTTAGTTCGATGGGTATGCATTCTTTTCTTGAGTGGGATTATTTTTTTTTTATCTTTTATTCTCCTGCGTAATATTAGAGTTCTCTGAAGAAAGTACGGAGTGATGGGGTTCTATAACGTCTTTGTTTATAAATCCCGGAGTTATTTCCCCCAACTGCACCGTCTGCGTCTCCATCAGAACGAGCCAGGCCGAGTTAGACGTGATCGTGTCAGCCTCCATCTCTCCGGCGTCGAACAGCGGCACTTGTCCCTCCGGCTTCACCCTCGACTCGTCAGGCCCTTACTGCCGCGACAACGACGAGTGCCTGGCATCCACGAGCCGCTGTTCCCACGGCTGCACCAACACCATCGGGAGCTACTCCTGCGACTGCAACCCTGGCTACACGCTGGGTCCTGATGGATACACTTGCCAAGGTCCCTAGATTAGAGAGGGTTGTCTTTTCTTGTGGTGGAATATGATTAGAAATACACTACGCTATTGATATATTTTAAATGTTTTAGATTTGATGGATCAGCGAGGTATTTTTTCATGTTCAGACTTAAAATCAAATAACTTATTTAGCGACGATCCTGTTCCGTAGAACTTAAATGTAAAATCTCTCTAGCAACCAATCTCTAGCTCATACATTCTTATAAATGCCACCTGCTAATGATTCAGTCCATACACACAGCAGTAACGTATATTCACCAATTAATTCAAAAGCGTTCATTCCCTCTCGACACAGACGTAGACGAGTGTTCAATGGCCGGAGTGTGTGGGCCGCTGGAGAACTGTGCTAACACCCCAGGCTCTTACACTTGCACATACAACTGCCGCCCTGGACTCAAGAGGACTGCCTCGGGTACATCGTGTGAAGGTAATGGTGTACTGGCTGTTTCATGCCTTTTACGTCTGAATCTGTTGTATATAGGTACTTATTCATAGTGTAATAATGCAGTGAAAATATTTATATGCATAAATAACCCTCCATGGCGAGGATTTGAACTCGGTCACTTTGTTGGTTGATTCAGTGCTTTACCAGGGTGGGTTATTTACATGCATATAGGGAGAATCTGATATGCTGCTATAATTTAGGAAAACGACATATCGTCCCAGCACTACTAAACACTATTTTGTAAACCCCCTTATGTAAATATGAGTTCTACCAGTCCCCAGAAGATACACTAATTTCTGCCTTTTTTTTAGACACCCTTATGTAGGATAAGAGTTGAACAAATCCTCAAAAATACATCCATTATTCCTTTATGGGGATATATATATATATATATATATATATATATATATATATATATATATATATATATATATATATATATATATATATATATATATATATATATATATATATATATATATATATATATATATATATATATATATATATATATATATATATATATATATATATATATATATATATATATATATATATATATATATATATATATATATATATATATATATATATATATATATATATATATATATATATATATATATATATATATATATATATATATATATATATATATATATATATATATATATATATATATATATATATATATATATATATATATATATATATATATATATATATATATATATATATATATATATATATATATATATATATATATATATATATATATATATATATATATATATATATATATATATATATATATATATATATATATATATATATATATATATATATATATATATATATATATATATATATATATATATATATATATATATATATATATATATATATATATATATATATATATATATATATATATATATATATATATATATATATATATATATATATATATATATATATATATATATATATATATATATATATATATATATATATATATATATATATATATATATATATATATATATATATATATATATATATATATATATATATATATATATATATATATATATATATATATATATATATATATATATATATATATATATATATATATATATATATATATATATATATATATATATATATATATATATATATATATATATATATATATATATATATATATATATATATATATATATATATATATATATATATATATATATATATATATATATATATATATATATATATATATATATATATATATATATATATATATATATATATATATATATATATATATATATATATATATATATATATATATATATATATATATATATATATATATATATATATATATATATATATATATATATATATATATATATATATATATATATATATATATATATATATATATATATATATATATATATATATATATATATATATATATATATATATATATATATATATATATATATATATATATATATATATATATATATATATATATATATATATATATATATATATATATATATATATATATATATATATATATATATATATATATATATATATATATATATATATATATATATATATATATATATATATATATATATATATATATATATATATATATATATATATATATATATATATATATATATATATATATATATATATATATATATATATATATATATATATATATATATATATATATATATATATATATATATATATATATATATATATATATATATATATATATATATATATATATATATATATATATATATATATATATATATATATATATATATATATATATATATATACCTATTTAAATTCCCTTATATGGATATAAAAACACCAATTTCTGTCATTTTCAAACTCCCCGTTAAAGACACGAGTCCTACAAAACGCTCAAAACAAACAAACATATCTACCTTTTGAAAAACTCTCTTATATAAATACGAGCACTATAAACACCCAAAGAATACTCCAATGTCTGCCTTTCCTCTCGCCAGACATAAACGAATGCACGGAGACGCCAGGAGTGTGTGACCAGACGTGCCTCAACCTCATCGGGGGCTATAGGTGCGACTGCAGGAGGGGATTCAGGCTCGTGGGCCAGAGTCGCTGTGTCGGTAAGGGCGTGTGGGCGTGATTGGATTTTTAATTGTGTGTTATGCTTGGCTTAGAGAAGTGTGGATACATGGGTACGTGAGGGTATTGCTAGGGGCGTAGATTTTCTGTTTACTTAGAAGTATGAATACATGAGGATTATGTGCTTACTTTACTTACATGATATTTCTAAGAGCGTAGATTATAAGTTTACTTTACTTAGAAGTGTGTATACGTGAGGATATTATTAAGGGCGTAGAGTGTGTTTACTTAGAAGTGTGGGTACGTGAGGATTATGTATTATACTTAACATAGAGAAGTGTAGAATACGTGAGGATATTACGAAGGGCGTAGATGATGTGTTATACTTGACTTAGGAGTGTAGATACATAAGGACATTTCTAAGTGTGTAGATTGTTTTTTCTTTACTTACAAATGCGGATACATGGTTGATTTAGTCGTGGGTATAAGATATGTAGAAAAGGAAGATATATAGTAGGATGTTGAGTTAACAGAAAGGCAATAATATGTAGATGAGCAGATAGATAGATAGATAAATAGAGAGAGAGAGAGAGAGAGAGAGAGAGAGAAACAGAGACAGACAGAGAAAGAGAGAGAGAGAGAGAGAGAGAGAGAGAGAGAGAGAGAGAGAGAGAGAGAGAGAGAGAGAGAGAGAGAGAGAGAGAGAGAGAGAGAGAGAGTAAGAATAACGGACGAAAGAGAGAGAAAGAGAGCGAGACGAAAGATTAAGAGAAAGAAAGAGAGAAAGCGATAGAATGAGCTAAAGAGACAGATCGGAAGCCAAATACAAGACAGATCAAACTACAACTCTTTACCCCTCCAACAGACATCGACGAGTGTTCGCAGTTCCGATCGCCGTGTACCCATGGCTGCGAAAATACCGTGGGTTCCTTCAGGTGCTCTTGTCCCGAAGGTCACATGCTCTTGCCCAATGGTCGCTGTAAAGGTAAGTTCCCTCCCGATAATCTCTTAGTGTATCAGGTAAGTTTGAAAGTGAATTTACTTCGTGTCTATTAATGATATTATTTACTTGATCTCTTAACTTTGTTTAGGTTTTCTGGTAGTTTTGTGTATACAACGTGCGGATTAATGATTTTGTTGACTTGAGTGAATTTACTACACGTGGTTATGATTTCGTCTAAGATGCGAATCAATGAGGAGTAAATTTTTAAGTAGTTGATTAGTTTATGATATTTCAAACATTAGTGAAAACCCAAAATTATTTAAAAAATATTCTCTCCTTGTTCCAGATATCAACGAATGTGCAACGTATCAACACGACTGTCTGGAGGAGCAAGAGTGTCGAAATACAGAGGGATCTTACATTTGCATTACACACTGTCCGAATGGCCTCACGAACGCGGACAACGGCACGTGCAAAGGTATATAGAGTGTTTAGAAGTTAAAAGAAGTTATATGTTGTGTTTTTTATGTGTTTTTTTAAAGTTGTGAGGTCTCGTGGGGAAAGATATGGTTGTAGAGTTTTTTGGGGGAATTCTGTGGGCGAGTTAGCTTTCTTTTTTCCGGTGTGGGAATATTTTTATTAATATTTTGTTTATTAGTGTTTCGGATTTGTATGATATCACGTATTCCTTCTATACGATGCAGATTACCTATATATCATATATGTCTTCCTTCCATCTTCTTCATATATACCTGGTATCGATACATTCAATTTTTTTCATTCCACATTTTGTTCACTGGTGTTTCGAATTTTAATATTAGGCATCCACTCTACTTCATACATATTACGTATATATATTGATATGAAATACATATCAATATTCCCGTTCCAGACTGATCATTCACATTTGAATGTCAGGTATCCCTTCTACATAATATTGATTACAGACTTATCATACTATCAATTGCAAATCGATATTTCCTTTCCAGACATCGACGAGTGTTCGCAGTTCCGATCGCCGTGTACCCATGGCTGCGAAAATACCGTGGGTTCCTTCAGGTGCTCTTGTCCCGAAGGTCACATGCTCTTGCCCAATGGTCGCTGTAAAGGTAAGTTCCCTCCCGATAATCTCTTAAGTGTATCAGTTAAGTTTGAAAGGGACTTTACTACGCGTGTATTAATGGTATTATTTACTTTATCTCTTAACTTTGTTTAGGTTTTCTGGTAGTTTTGTATATATAACGTGTGGATTAATGATTTTGTTGACTTGAGTGAATTTACTACACGTGGTTATGATTTCGTCTAAGATGCGAATCAATGAAGAGTAAATTTTTAAGTAGTTGATTAGTTTATGATATTTCGAGCATTAGTGAAAACCCAAAATTATTAAAATTTTATTCTCACCTTGTTCTAGATATCAACGAATGTGCAACGTATCAACACGACTGTCTGGAAGAACAAGAGTGTCGAAACACAGAGGGATCTTACATTTGCATAACACACTGTCCGAATGGCCTCACGAACGCAGACAACGGCACGTGCAAAGGTATGTAGTGTGTTTAGAAGTTAAGAAAAGTTATATGTTGTGTTTTTTTAGGTGTTTTTTAAAGTTGTGAAGTGTCCTGGGGAAAGATATGATTGTAGTTTTTTTGGGGGGAATTCTTGGGGGCGAGTTAGCTTTCTTTTTTTCCGGTGTGGGAATATTTTTATTAATATTTTGTTTATTAGTGTTTCGGATTTGTATGATATCACGTATTCCTTCTATACGATGTAGATTACCTATATAGCATATATGTCTTCCTTCCATCTTCTTCATATATACATGGTATCGATACATTCAATTCTTTTCGTCCACATTTTGTTCACTGGTGTTTCGAATTTTAATATTAGGCATCCACTTTACTTCATGCATATTACGTATATATCTTGATATGAAATACATATCAATATTCCCGTTCCAGACTGATCATTCACATTTGAATGTCAGGTATCCCTTCTACATAATATTGATTACAGACTTATCATACTATCAATTGCAAATCGATATTTCCTTTCCAGACATCGACGAGTGTGCAGAGCAGATATCAGGATGTCACTTTACACAGACCTGCTCAAACACTTGGGGTTCTTACCACTGCACTTGTCCAAGGGGATTCAGCTCGTCAGGACCAGGGCAGCCTTGTTTAGGTTCGTAGGGTTGATTTTTTTTCAATGTGCAAGCATTTGGATGTTGCAAAATGTTGATGTAAAATATATGTGTAGATTTGTTTAATTTCATGGAACTCATGCATCCCAGAATTCAGTGTTCAGTGACTAAGAGCTTCCGTCCAAGAACGTATGCTATCATATCTGTTATATATGATATATTGTCATATATGTTATATTATCTGTTATATCTGGCATGTTATCTGTAATATATGGCATATTATATGTTATATAAATGTGTATTAACTTTTTTTTTATAGATGTGAAAAATATTTCTGAATTTCGGATACATGCTTTTGTATAGACATGATTGACTGTTGCATGTCTCATTATTGGTGTTTTGAACATTCTGAACAGCCTCAACCATCAGTGTGAGGATTGAGAAGTTTTAGTGCTATAGCATGCCTGATATTTACTTTCAGACTTACGGTTGGATACGGCAAAGTAAGCCTCATGCTACTACTTTGAATGCAAATTACCATAGTTCTTTTTAAAGTATATGTTACTCATTCATTAAAGATTGTTATATGCAGTCAAAATGATGTATTCTCTTTAGATAAAAATGAGTCAAGGAAGAAATAGAGAAAGAAAAAATGCAGATTTATCATAATAAAAACCCAAAATGAAAAACGTATCCTCATCATCATCAGAAACAAGACACTGTGATGAACCTCCATGTAAAAAAAACAAACAAACAAACAAAACAAATCTTCATCCTTCATCATACTCACCCCCCTCACTATCCTCACGATATTAAGCTGTCATTATGTGGCGTAGATGTGAATGAGTGCCTGGCCTCCCCCCCTCCGTGCAAGTACCAGTGCCACAACCTCCGGGGAACGTACGAGTGCATTTGCGGTCCTGGTGAACAGCGGCTGCCTGATGGGAAATCCTGCGTTGGTGCGATATAACGAGTTCCTTCTGTTGTTTGAACGCCTTTAGTCCTTAGAAGGATCTTGTTTATAGAAGTAAAAAAAAAAAAAAAAAAAAAAAAAAATGTAGATTCTGCGATAAAAGGATTTAATGTTATGATTTAAATAAAAAAGGAAAGAAAATATTAGGTGGAACAGTTAGGTTCTTTTCTCCACGGTACTGAAGCCCTCTTGTTTTATTCACTGAAATAAAAATGCGAGATGAATATATATATATGCGAGAGTTCATCATTCTAATGAATCTATTTTTGAAATGTTTAAAACCCTTAATATTCATACAAGACGATATAAACCTTTTTTTGAAATACTCCCCCCCCCTTCCCCTTACTCAAAGATTTTCCAATATAATACGCCTCCCCCCCCCAAAAAAAAAAAAAAAAAAAAAAGATTTCGAAGACGCAAAAGTCAGTTCTAAAACACGCATTGCAGGGCTTCAGTACCTGGAGGAGGAGGCCGGTCGGGTCGCCCTCCCGTCGCGCCGAACGAGACTCCGACCCGCGCCGGGCTATCCGACCTCCGAATTCCAGGAACGTCTCCTGCACTCCATCTACAGCCGAAGGAGCTGTCGGGAGGGATTTGAGCTCGAGGACGATGAGTGCCGAGGTAATGTGGTCGTGAGTGTAGAGGGAGTGTGTGTGTGTGTGTGTGTGTGTGTGTGTGTGTGTGTGTGTGTGTGTGTGTGTGTGTGTGTGTGTGTGTGTGTGTGTGTGTGTGTGTGTGTGTGTGTGTGCACAATCGACTTTATTATTTTCTTTGCGAGTAAGTTTGCAGCTACGAAACAATAATTATAATGCGATTACTTTGCTTTTGAAAGTTATAATGTTGCTTATTTCTTTACTCTTGCAAAACCAATGCCGTTATTGAAATCATTAACGAAGAACGCAAAGTATGGATGTTTAAATGTTAATCGACACTTAATAACAAGGTTAATAACTTGCTTTTTTTAAGACTAACAGCTTCACCCTGTTTGAACCTTTGATATAAAACCAAAGTTAAAACGTAACCAGCAAGCGTCGTTTTTCTTCTCCGCTGCAGATTAATTGATAGACTGGGCAGGTAATAGAAATATAAAAAAAACAAATGCAAATATGAAAATAAATGTATCATCTATTTTATTTCCATTCATTCACGAAAGACACGAAGCTCCTGCATCTGACAAACTTTTCACGCATGTCATGCCATTTACTTACAATCATATTAGTGTTCGAATTCCCTAACAATGAAAAAAAAACCCACACCAAAAAAGAAAAATTCGTTAAAAAATAATAACAATAACGTAATCAGTAAATATCGAAATACAAATTAAACTCGAGAACAAAAAAAAACGAACATTTTTTCAGACGTCAACGAATGCACGCTGCCGGAAAGATGTCAACATCGGTGTGAGAATACCATCGGGAGTTTCATGTGCTTGTGTCCACCGGGGTATCGACTCAACGCAAACAGAAGAACTTGTGACGGTAAGAACAGAATGCCAGGAGGAAGTAAAGGGTAAGGGTGATGGTAAGTAAAGAATTAAACGGGATACCGACCTAATGTCAACAGAACTTGTGGCGGGAAGAACGGGAAATAGAAATAAGTGAAAGAATTTGCGATGTTAAGTAGGGAATGCAAAGGTGTGCGATAAATAAGAATTTTCGACTCAAACAGAAGAACTTGTGGCGGGAAGAACAGAATGCCAGGAGGAAATAAAGGGTAAGGGTGAGGGTAAGTAGAGAATTAAACGGGATACCGACCGAATGTCAACAGAACTTGTGGCGGGAAGAACAGAATGCCAGGAGGAAATAAAGGGTAAGGGTGATGGTAAGTAGAGAATTAAACGGGATACCGACCGAATGTCAACAGAACTTGTGGCGGGAAGAACAGAATGCCAGGAGGAAATAAAGGGTAAGGGTGAGGGTAAGTAGGGAATTAAACGGGATACCGACCTAATGTAAACAGAACTTGTGGCGGGAAGAACAGAATGCCAAAAGGTACGGTGAGTCAAGAGGAAATAAGTGAAAGAATTTGCGATGTTAAGTAGGGAATGCAAAGGTGTGCGATAAATAAGAATTTTCGACTCAAACAGAAGAACTTGTGGCGGGAAGAACAGAATGCCAGGAGGAAATAAAGGGTAAGGGTGATGGTAAGTAGGGAATTAAACGGGATACCGACCTAATGTCAACAGAACTTGTGACGGTAAGAACCGAATGTCAAGAGGAAATAAAGGGTAAGGGTAAGGGTAAGTAGGGAATTAAACGGGATTCCGACCTAATGCAAATTGAAGAACTTGTGACGGGAAGAACCGGATGTGAAGAAGTGCGGTGAGTCAAGAGGAAATAAGTAGAAGAATTTGCGAGGGTGAGTAGGGAATGCAAAGGTGTGCGATAAATAAGAATTTTCGGCTCAAACAGAAGAACTTGTGACGGTAAGAACAGAATGCCAGGAGGATATAAAGGGTAAGGGTGAGGGTAAGTAAGGAATTTAACGGGATACCGACCTAATGTAAACAGAACTTGTGGCGGGCAGAACAGGATGTGAAGTGAGTCAAGAGGAAATAAGTGAATGAATTTGCGATGTTAAGTAGGGAATGCAAAAGTGTGTGATAAGTAAGAATTTTCGACTCAAACAGAAGAGCTTGTGGGTAGAGGCCAGAATGCAAAGAGGTGAGTCAAACACAAATAAGGGGGGAAAGTTTGCGAGGGTAAGTAGGGAATGCCAAAGTCTGTGGTAAGTCAAAACTGGGTATTAATTCAGAGCATTGTGAGTAGAGAACAAACTGCAAAGAGGTTCGGCGAGTCACTAAACAAATAAGTTGGGAAACTTTTGTTGATATTCACAAAATGCAAAAGTGTGCAGTAAATCACGGTAAGTACAAATGCAAAAGTGTGTCATAAGTAAAAAAGAAATGGGATATCGGAAAGTCAAACAAAAATAAAAGGAAGATGTGTGATGGTAAGTACCGGATGCAAACGTGTGTTGTAAGTCAAAAAGGATCAAGTTAAAGAATTCATCCTGGTAAGTAGGGCATAAAAAGGTGTGTGGTAAGTCAAAAGTGAAAGCATTTGCGAAGGTCAGTAAAGAATGCAGAAACGTGCGGTAACTCAAAAAGAGATTAGTGAAAGAACTTGCTATGGTGGGCCTTAGAACAAACAGAAACATTCGACGGGACTTGCTATGGTAAGTACCAAATGCAAAAATGTACGGTAAGTCAAAATGAAAAAACATGAAAGACCTCGTGATATGAAGTACACATGCAAACATGCGCGGTATGTCGGACAGAGAGAAGGGAAGAATAACTTGCGACGGTCATTGCAGACACGCGGAAAGTCGAATATGCACTAAGAAGAAAATTGACGGTAAGTACAGCTTGCAAAACGTGCGTGTTAAGTCGAAGAGAAGTGATAAAGGTATCTCTGCTTTTAAATGGTTGAGCCTAATCAGTGATAATGGTAATTAATATTTTATTATCAAGAAAGGGCAAGGACGCCACTGTAAACCCAGAATTTTTAAATATCGAGGCGAGTCCTTTGGCGTAAAACGAATTCATCAGTAGAATCACACTTAACATATTTGTTTCCAGATCCTCGAAAATCGGTAGAATAAATCCAGTACACTCAAGTAGGTATAAAGAAAAATGTCTCATCTTTTACCAAGCCAGTTCAGTAAACATTTTTTCTCTTTAGTCAGCTATTCATTAATTCATTTATTTTTCATAATGGTATCAGCGCGTTATATCCCTTTCTTATTCTATTTATTTATCAGTTTGCCTTGTTTTATCTTGTTCTTTACTTATCTATTTACTTATTTTACAATTACATCAACACGGCAGCGTCTCTCACCACTGTTCTCCCCAGACATCAACGAGTGCCGCGAGCAGGACGTGCAGTGTGGTAGAGACCAACTCTGCTTCAACCTCCGGGGTTCGTACAAGTGTGTGTCCGCGCCCTGCCCGCCCGAGTACCAGAGAGACCCAGCCACCGGGTACGCCCTTTTCTTGTTCGATTTTAACAACATTCTCTTGTAGTTTTATGGTTGTATCACACTTACCACGGATTTTTATAATATCGTTAGGTAGAGGATGTGAGATTATGGTTATATGAAGGTGTAATCTGACTTGTAATCTTGATACGACAATGAATTCGCTTGGTTTCATGTTCGAGACAGGATCTGAAGCAAAGAAAACATTGATTCGAAGCAGAAAAGGCATTGATCCGAAGCAAAGCAAGCATTGATTCAAAGCCCCAATTCTCCTGTTTACAGCTCGTGCATCCTGGACTGCCGGTGGGGCAAGAACAGCTGCCCCCCTGGCGTGACGTATGCCCACATCCTGGCATTCAAGACGGCATCTCTCCCAGCCGGAATACAGGCCTACCAGGATCTTGTGCGTCTCATGGCCTACGACCAGCATGGCAGCCTCGTCCCGCAGACGCTGTTCAGTATTATCGAGAACGAAACAGGTATGGGGGTTGCGCTGGTGAATGGCAGTGATTTGGGTGTTTTTTTTTTTATTTATTTACTTATTTATTGTTATCTCCATCTCCTTCTACGTATTCCTTTTTTCTTTTTCTTCTTCCATCTCCATTTCCACCTCCACCTCCACCTCCACCTCCACCTCCACCTCCACCTCCACCTCCACCTCCACCTCCACCACCTTCGCCTTCACCTTCTGCTTTACCTTTGCCTTAACTTTCACCTTTACCTTCATCACCATCACCATCACCACCACTATCATCACCACCATCACCACCACACAACCATCAATCATAATTTTTTTTATGTATTCATCTATATTGCATGTTGATGTGGATATAAGTTGTAGGCTTTACTTTTGTAAAAAAAAAAAAAAGAAAAAAAAACTTATTTTATTAAAGTTTTCGTTGATCAGTGTAAATAACTTTTTTTTTTCCCACAGGTGTCGCCTTCAGAATTCGCTTGGAGGGTGGCAAAGGTATACTGAGTACACTGGATCCTCTCGCAGCAGGTCGAGAGTACAGGTCAGTATCCCTCGTCCTCAAGGTATGAAGGTCTGAGAAATTTAACGTTAAAAAAAAATATTCATTGCGTTGTCAGGCCCCAAGAAAGGTGTGTTTATAGCCCTGTGACTAATTTGCTTCACCAGATCAGTCAAAAAAAAAAAAAAAAAAAAAAAAAAAAAAAGATGATAAATAGATAAAAGAAATAAATGGTTAGTGTATTCGTCTAGCAGTCTTGCTGACCCACTGCACTCAGGGAATAGTTGAGAAGCACGATAAATAGACAGCCGTTATTTGACTAGTTATTTTCTTAAAAAGAACGTCGTTATCATTATCATTGCTTTTGTTATTATTATTGTTGTTATTATTATTATTATTATTATTATTATTATTATTATTATCGGTATTATAATTATCATTATCATTATTATCATTATTATCATCATCATTAGTGTCATTATTAGTATTAGTATTAGTATTAGTATTATTACTATTATTACAATTATTATTATTATTATTATTGTTGTTATTATTATTATTATTATTATTATTATTATTATTATTATTATTATTATTATTATTATTATTATTATTATTATTATTATTACTATTATTATTACTATTATTATTGCTGTAGTTGTTGTTATTGCTACTACTACTATTACTTTTATCCTTACGATTATCATCACTGTCACTGACTATTCTCTGCACGTTCCAGGATGGTCGTGGAGGCGGTGTCATATGATGAGGTTGAACACTTCATCAAATACTCCACCAGATTCATCATTTTCCTTCACATTTCACAATACCCATACTAAGCAATTCGCTGCAGTGTAATACTTAACAATAGTTAGCAGTAGTATTAATAACCTGATACCTTTTTTTTATATATATATTTCTCTTCATGTACTGATAGAGATGAGACTTATGGTTAGTATTTATTTTAGTGTGTCCTAAAGTTCTTTTTTTTTTTTTTTTCGTTTCGTGTTGCAGTATCCTGTATGTGCTGGTTAAAGATTGCATTTTGGCCTTGAATCCGATGCTCAGGTTACTTAAAAAGATTTTTTAATGATAATTGTAATGCCAGTGATGTTCAAAGTCTACTTGGTATGGACTTGAATAGCAGAAGGAGAAATTGAGTGATTTTTAAAAATCTATTTAATAAATTATTTGGGTTGTAATAGTAACTAATAAAGCCTATTTTCACATTTCCATTCTCCGAGAAATGAAGTATGTAATTCCGATCGGTTTGTCACGCAGGAGAAAACTTCAACAGGGTACTGCATGCGGTTTTATATAAATGTGTATAAAATGTGTTTTCTTGTTTCTTTTACTAGATTAAGAGATTGACAGTATTCCCCCCCTAACATTCCAGTGTATGGAGCTATCTCTTGTATAATCATATTTACTGTAAAAACCCACAGAAAACGTTTCGAAACTTTTTTTTTTTTCTTCAGCGAACCCTTACTGACAATGCAGTTTATGTCATCGCCCTATCACTGTATTGTACTTCTCCCCCTTATCATAATGTGAACTGCATTCATGTTAACCTACATTTTCTAATAAAGAAAGTTCTAAAAGTAAAAAAAAAAAGACAGAGTTTATTTGTTCTTCAAGTGCGACTTGAAGATGAAACGTCCTTGAAAAGTTCCTTGTTTTTTTTTTTTTTTTTTTTTTTTTTTTTTTTTTTAAGTCCTTGAAATCTTCTAAACCAAGAGCCTAAGGTTGTTTCCCTCCTGTGTACTCGGACCTGTTTGTGGGGCAAACTTTTATCCTTTTGATAAACGAGTAGAGTGAGAGATAAATACAAAAATGAAAAATGATAAACAGAGATTAATACTGTAGATATACAGACAGATAGATACACACATATAAAAATGTACACAGACACTCAGACAGATCAGTGCAGATCTACAGATAGATAGACAGATCAGTGCAGATCTACAGATAGATTAGAAAAAAAAACAGACACAAATACACAGGGGTAGGTAGGCATAAATTTATAGATACACAAACAGATAGATAAATACACAAAACCAAGGCCGAGGGGGGGGTGTGATTTAACAAATTGAGAAAACACGAAAACACTATTGAGTTACATGAATTTTGTGCTACTTTGCTCCCTCGCATTTCTTCTTTGTATTATTGCATTGTTATTCCATATTTTTAACTTGCAAATCTTTAAAAAAAAAGAAACGAACATTGACGTGTACAGAATGATGAAAGGAAACACAGCAACAAGAGGAAAGAAATGATACGGTTAATTTCTTTTCACATTGTGTTTCCTTTTATTAACAAAGGAGTTACGAGAGTTTTCTTCAGCTTTTAAAAATCCATTGCACAGCTCTCCATCTAGTGTACGTGTCTGTCAGCCGGTTTGTTTAAAATGTGGGAGACCCGACCCAATGAATATTCGTATATACGGACATGCATATACATAGAAATAAGTATATCTCTGTCGATTCTCTCTGATAGATATACATTTATCTATCTATCTGTCCAATTGATATGAATGTCTAGATTGATAGATGTATATTTATTTTTGTGTATATTCATGTCCGTATAATGTATATTCATTGGGTTGGGCCTCTCCCATTTTCAACAAACCGGCCGTACATTTGTGAAAACACATTGGAACTTACCTTGTTTTCAGAATCCATGAAAAAAGTAAAATAATGCATCCCTTAAATCATTAGCCATTAATGAGTCAGATGAAATGAATAGCTGAAATTTGGGACATTAATAGCATGTATAGAAATGTATAAAATTTTATTTGCTACAGTTTCGTTCATGATTCTCAGTTTTCTATTGTAAAGGAGAATATACAACAATATTGATAAAACTTTTGCAAATATCGCAACCCGTCAGCAATATTTGCAATCTTTGGGAAATCAAACTTATATCTTCAATTTTTAAATAATATCAGTTTAGCACTGGACTTCATATATGAACTAATATTTTGTTACGACATTCCACTTTTTGTTTGTTTCTTTGATTCTGAAGCAGATCAAATGTTATATATCTATATTTTCGATGCTGTCTTTTGTTAACTAGCTTAAATGTTGAGCAATATGCACTACTGTACTATCTCCGCCTCCGAAAGCACTTTGCAAACGCGACCACGACCTCCAAACAGTAAGGTTTTCAGCCCTAACACATCTCGCTCTCCGGCCAACCGTTCTCTGCGCGGCCGCCTTCAGCCCCCAGGACGCGGGTCAAGTCCTCGGCCAGCCGTACAGATTACCCCAGTACACACGAAGCCCCGTGTACTGGTACCGACGTCGCACTCGCCAGAACACACGGCCAGACACCTCTTCCAAGAACAGGTGCTGCAAGTGCGGCAGACGGCTCACCAGCTGGCAGATCTGCTCCACCGATGGCTCCCACTCGTAGCCATCTGTCACGTGCAGGTGGAGGACATGAATTTCACTCTGCAACTTGTCCATCAACGGAGCCACGCCGCGGCAGATGCTGATGCTGAGTGTGGTCAGCAGAGGGGATGCCGTCATCACCGTCTCCATGAGCCCTGTCCAGCGGGCCAGGTGTCCCTCCTCGGCCACTGGGTCATCCTGGTCGCCGGGGCCGTCTTCGTGCAGGCAGAATTCCTCCAGGTGGACGCAGTGCAGGGGCAGCGGCGGCGAGGTCTGCGTGGCCGGCGCCTCCAGCATGCTCCGGCTCCACACCCGCAGCCTGAGCGACGCCAGCGCGGGGCACAGCTGCACGAGAAGGCACACGGTGGCCACGTGGAGCCGCTGGCCAGGGCTAGAGGCCTCGAGGGTGAGGGACGTCAGCCTCGCCCCGTGAATCCGCAAGGCAGGGGCCAGCATGGCGTGCGTGACGTGGTCCTCACAACTGACGTTCGCATGCAGCTCCGAGAAGTGCGTCCACTCCGACAGCAGCTCCGTCAGCTGCCTTCCCGCGGTCTCGTAGACCCTCGGGCTGCCTCTCGTGCTGCAGTCGAGCGCCAGCGACGTGACGGCCGGGGAGCTCCACGCTAGCTGCTGCAGGCGCGCGCGCCCCG